TTGACGAATACTATCTATGATTTATCTTTTTAGCTAGACTATTGCCCTGTTTAATTGATAATTCTTCAAATTTTATTTGTGTTCTCTCATAGCTATTGTATTAAAAATTAAATCATTGCAACGGTTTTATAACAATCAAAATTAACCACATAATCAGACTGTACATTCATGTGAATAGATATTTTATAATGGCTTCAATTCACTCGTTTGACGTAGAAGTTGAAGACTAACACCCATATGAATAACTTATGTAATTAAATGTACTTCTATAGGAATAACACAAAACGCTTATATAATATATATATATATATATATATATATATATATATATATATATATATATCAGGTAACCAAATAAATAAATATTTTGTCATTAGAAAGCCTACTACATAATCTAAGCAAAATTAATTACACAGGCAAGAAACAGTTAGGGTTCAGTATTATTTTAGTGATTAATCAATAAAGTGGGATAAATAAGTTGATGAATCGACTGTTTAGAGATTAATAACGTAAACAATATGTAAATCAACTAGGAATTCATTGGTGAAATAACATATCGCTTTTCTCAGAATAAATTTCCTCTCGCTGACATTATTATTATGGTTGTGTTTTCTGTAAACAATCTGAATCAAAATTATAAAACCAATACATCAAGCCACTAATGATACATATATTACCAAGGCCATTTTGGGCCTTGTTAATTGATTCTATTTGTTTATTCAAAATATCAGCGATGACCTTGTAAAACACAAATGATTGAATGTTCAGTCTAACCAATAAGGGAAGAAATAATGTACAAATTGAAAATATTTCTTTGATGATTTTAGTGAAGAAGAAGAGTCAATACATGATAAGCATTTATGACGTTAAACTAAAAATATGAATCACACGTTAGATAAATGATTCATCGGGAAACAAAATAGTTTCATCACTGGTGTAGAAATATTATTTTGAATGTATGTATAAATTAATGGAGTAAAAATTTTAGGCATGTGCTGTTACGGCTAACGTGTTTGACTCAATAAGTTAGTTTTAATTAGAAATAAGGAATTTTAATTTTCATAGAACGATAAAATCATCTACGTTACGTCAAGTTATATTTAGTGTGCTGGGCAAAACATGACTGGAAATATACACTATGGAGTATGATAGTTAATAATCTGGGCTATCGATCTTAAAGATACTATGATTGCATGCTACACTTCAATTATTTCAACATTTATCAGTATAATTTAGTAATTACGCAGACAGATTATTTGTATGAAACTCTTAAGTTACAATCACTAGTCCTGATCAGTACATAGTCTGATTGACAATTACATCTCTGTGCTAATGTGGTATGGCAACATGAACTGATGTACTGAGGTACGAAGTTTTACATTGCATCTGACTGATTGACATTGCCTGATTAATTATGGATAACATATGGAGATCTGCAGGTCTTTCAGCTCAACTACTCTCTCATCAAAAAATGCTTCATGTTCAAATGTAATAGATATATAATCTCAAAAAATTGATAAAAGCGGTTGTTATCTAGTTTTTTAAAGAGCGAAAACAATTTGAAAGCCTAATATTTTTCACCTAATGAACAGGAAAATGTTTTACCAACGTTTGTATTAGCCAGCTTGCTTATTAAAACAGCAAGCATTCAGTGTTCAGTAATAACGATATAAAGTTATTTATTGCAAACTGCCATATATATATATATATATATATATATATATATATATATATCCTAATAAATTACGTATTTAGATAACAAGTAGTGTGACGACAGCTGTTCAGCAGTAATTATTAAATTTTGCAGATACCAACTTTAGAGCATCGTACTCATTTTCTGACACATAAATCGAGTTAAGAGTGTTTTCAGCAGTTATTCAATTCACTAATTTTCCTAAACAATTAATTTTCATTGTCAAATGTCGCAAGTGTAACAAAGAACAGCAAAGTAATAATACTTTGGATGGTGGGTCAAATCAAATCCTTGGAAGAACTTTTCATCCTCTCTAGAATAAATAAATTGTGTTCACACTGCAACTAGAGACGTTTTACTATCGCTTTGAATGGTGGGGCAAAATAAAAAATTTACTAATTCTCAGTAGTCAGTATATACTCAACAATTTTGCGTAGGAAATCGTCACTAACTATTGTCTAATAATGATACCCTAGAAAAAATCTCATAAAATGTGGATCTCAAGGAATATCTCAACAGATGAATACCCTCTAATTTCTTTGTTAAATAATATTTAATCACTTTCTTGATCACAAATACCATCTTACTGTCTACATAGTCTTTTGTCCTTCAAGATAAGTATAATTTTTGGTCGAAATCAGTAGAGATGACGAACAGTTGTATATCATGCATATTTACGTGTACATCGATCATATCAGCTTTGGGAATATAACAAGAGAAAAACACTCATGCAGATAATTTTTGACAGCATACAAGCTTGCACAAACCGCCATTGATCAGAAAGATTATTTGACATGTAACCTTGACCTAGAATAGAAGAATTCACCTTCCATTTCTTAAATATGCTTAGACGGTAGGATTTTAAGACAGCCTGTCGAAAAAATAGATGAAGATGAATTCATTTGTTTTTAAGATGGAAATAAACTGAAAAAATCCAACTAGAATGACAATAGTATCTTTTGATCTATATCTGTTCAATAGGAAGTTAAGTTAACAAGTTACTGGAAACTCAAAGTCATTTAGAGTAAAATATGATCCCAGTTTATATCAATAAAATTAGTTTCCTTCGGATCATTAGTTTATTACCAATAATTTTCAATAATTAATATTTCTAGTAATCAAAATTAGAAGTGAGTCTCTTCACTTTGAAAAATTTTCAATGTTTTTTAGAGAAAGGTTTCAAATATTGAATTAATTTGTATATATGCAAAGTGTGTAATTTCGCAAACGAACACCTCCTAGCACTCCTGTAAGCTGCACTTATGTAATTACTTATTCTGCTGATTTTTCCGACATATATATTGAAGAAAATTAAATATTCTTGTTTTAGCAATATTTTATAGATTGCACATAAGAGTTATTAACCGAAAATGACTACATCTTGACCTAATAAGACAACAGAATTCAGGAATCATGAACACTGATTTTAAAGAGTTGAAATCGGAACTAATAATTGATTAAAAACTTGTGTACATAGTTTAGATCAAAATATCGGAAAAGTTCTTTTCAATAAAAATTAATAAAAACCGATTGATGAAGAAAAACACCGTTGGGTTAAAATCCCGACTTATTGATACTGAAAAACAATACAAGTTATTCTGAATCCCACACATTGAAAATCTATCTAAAGTTCATCAAAAAGCTTTAAGGATTATAATGCAGAATGAAAATATTGACGACACCATATTATCTGACAAAGGATTAGCTGTAGTTATAGGGACGGAGATAATTATATATGAATCAAATCCATATGATCTGATAAATTCATCATCACTATTATTTACCATAGGCCCACTAGAATAAACCACACACAAATAATACGTCATCACGCTGACCTACTCCATCTACCAAAAGATGTATTCAGGCAACACTTCGATTACTGTGCACCAACAATGCTTAATTCCACTTCAGTAATACCTTACATCATCGAACTGATGAAGTAGCGCTATAGGTTCAATCCTGCCATATGACTTTGTAGGGAAACCTATAACAGATAGTTATAACATTAGTGGTTGACAATACAACATTGTACGTCAGGAACATTGATGATATATATTTATGGCTTGAGATGATTATCAACATACTTCTGATTAAGTGAAATTTAGTATTGCATTAGGTTTACGATAGAACTTGACAATGTGTGTAATTTTCTGGGCCTTACTATGAAGCGTATTATAAGTAGTCGACTGGAAAAATATACTACTTATCGAAAGGATTCATCAAGTGGATTATGCAAAAACTTCAATAACTTCTGTCCAGTAACCTATACAATAGTCACTCTCAAAAATTCATAACCAAATATGGGAAAACGAAAGCAAAGGAATCGGAGTATGCCGCTGATGAGAAGATATCCTTATTCTTAAAACTTAACTTCAAAGGTGATGGAATAGCAAGAAATATCAATTTCAGAATAAAAGCTATGGTAAAAAGGACGTATCCAGTTGCCAAACTGATTTCTCTGTATCATTCAAACAGTCATGTTCGGATAAATTCTTTTAATTGTATTCCCCGGTTTACATGTACCTAACAAAAAAGAACATACTTCGAAAGAACGAAAGTAGGTCACTGTCTGTAAAGTAGAGAACATTCCACAGAAACTTAAACTAAGAAGACAACGTGATTTCAGCAGTGTGATTGCACGCCATTTGCTTGACTGTGATCATGAAGTTAGTATTTCTAGGTCATCTGAGGTAATTACTAAACGAAGGAGCATCTAATTTACTACAGTTCGCTGAAGTAATTTCAGTAATTTTTAAGCCACATCTCTGCATTCGAAAAGAATCAGCTATCAGTCATGTTTTACTGTGACTGAATAATTATTCTCAATTCTTATTTGATCTGTACTCAGTTTAATCGAGAAATATTCATATTATTTAGCATATAAATATTATCTCTTGTTATCCTCATTGGTGTTTTATTAATTTTCACTGATGAGAACTTTTCTGATATTATGATAATAAGTATGTTCACTGGTTTTTAATGATTTTTTCTATCATGATTTGATTCTAAGCAGCTGACGAGAAACAACTAAATATTATTCTGCTACATTAATTGTTCTGCATTTATTCAAACGAATTAATGAGAAAAACTATATGAGATAATGGTACTCATTGTGATCCCGAGTGAGTTTGGAGATAAAAACTACTGACTTGTCAAGAGCTCGAATTAACTGGCTAATCAGTGTTAATCGGTTTTCAGTGGGTTTGAATCTCTTACCAGTCATTACTTAAAACCACCAACATTAAATTCTCAGCTTAATAAAATGCAGCTGACTATTTATGATGTACATGAATGGATATATGCTTACCTCTTTCATCTTTCGCATTATTAATACCCCAATGTAGTAAAGAATTATATGAAGTTCTAGGACTTTGTGAATTCGATATAGACTCCATACTTGAAATACTACCCCGTTCACACGGTTTCCACTCAGTGTCATCAGAAGTAAGTATTATAGACGGGGTGAGATTATCGTTATCCATTTGAGTATAAATTAAATCAATATCATTCGATTCAGCCATCTCTGATTCATTTTGAACGTGACTATAGTTTTCTTTATCATTAATTTCATTACCATCACCATTGTCACAATGTTGTCTATGTAAATCTTGACAAGTTTCACCAAAAAAGTAAGATATTGAAGGCATCTTTGCTTGTTCAGTTGGTAAATTGACATCATGTAACTTTGGATCTGTTGACATGTTCCAATATCTTCATCATGTCATATTTCTATTGATCAGTAGTAAGTAATGTTTATTTGAGTTCTATATAACTTGATCAATGTGATTAGTATCTTTCAGCAATATATATTTTTTTAATCAAGATGCTTAGGTTTTACAGACATTTTCCCAGCTTTATAATTAAATGATTAAACTATGGTATAAGTTAAATAAACAATTCTATTCCTCGCTGAGTGCAGAGTACAGTATGTTCTCTACTTATTGTTCACACATTATTACTAAACAATAAGAAATTAGCAATTCGTAAAAAAACGAAGACAACAAGATTCATCTGTCGTAAAGTTTTTATATACACAATGAAGATTTTACCTAACATTATTAGCCAATCACTAAAAGGACAAGTATACGTTTTCATTTATTCATTAAACTTTGCCAATTCTATCTACCTGTAACTGTATTTTAATAAACGATATGCTTAATTCTGATTCGATTAAAAACAGAAATTGTTTGTAAGGCAATGGACATACTTACGTCTGTACATTTATTTTGATGTGTGTAAGTATGTCTATACACTGTAACAACCACACTGAATGAATACAGTCTTTGTGGGATTAGTAAGAAAATAAACTAATCAAAATTTGAAAGTGGATTATTATGTTGTTCATGACCTGCATACATATGAAGGCCACTGGAATTATATTGCACAATATGGGCTCACGGAAAATTAGCGCTTCACTACATCATTTCACAATGTTGAATGGTGCTAGTGCCACATAACTAATCAAAATGTACAGCGAATCGATTATAATTAATCTGTTCAAATATTTCGTATTCACATTGGAATCAGACGATACTGAATTCTGTCTTGTGTTAAATAATGGGTGCACTATGTTTAGGATTTTAGGATGATTTTTACTGAACTTATGCATCAGTTATTGTTAAACCATCATTGAGAACCTGAAAGCACTGGAAACTGTTTCGTCCTGGAATGAAGCTCATCAGCAGTGTGCATACACGATTTCAGCAGCTCGCAGGGTTCGAACCCGGGACCTGTGATCTTGCGCGCGAACGCCTGCATCTAAAGGTATTAATGTCTAACTCTGATCAATCTAGGGATTCATAATTTCAGCAATAAACGACAATCTCCCTAACTCTATAATGAAAAGTCGTTTTAAGCTGAGTTAAAAAAACAGATCGATGAATCTGCTGAACCAGTCGACAGACTAATTATTTTTGTTCACATTTTAACTACTGTGCCATAGCATATTTTTATTTCACAATTCCTTTCATGCCTCATGAACGGTCTTGAAAAAATATTGTTAATAATACTGTTTCAATATCTCAGCCAAGTTCATCTTGCTTTTTGAATATTAATCCTGGCAAACTGGATTCGGAAATACTATGAAACAGATTTCGCTTTGTCTAACTCTTCCAAACAGTACGTCAGTTTCAAATTAACTAGTCTAGATTGAAATAAATCATATTCTCTGACTATAACCTGAAAACCGAACTCCTGAAAATATCACTAAAATCCAGATTATAATAATATCAAGTAGGATTTGTTACGATTTCCGTTGACAGTAAATCACCCGCATAGTTTTATGTAAATGAAATTAGTAATAATATCACGGCAAATAACACATTCTTAATTTTGGAAATCAGCTAGAAAGCCAAAAGTTGATCGAAAGTGGTTAGTTCCTACTCCATACTATAAAACAATATATTTCCCCTAAACTATAAAATGTTTTATAGTTTTCGCCTGTATACTAAAAACGCATTGATGATGGTATGAATACATTCATGTAGTAATCCGTCTCAGAGTTTTCCAGTCACGTTTATGTCAGTGAATGAGTAAACAGATTTGTTATAGAATCGTCTCATCACGTAATAAATAGGCAACTCTCATTTATAGACCCACCTATTTGTCCCTGAATTATATTGGATAACAGAAAGGATAATAACTAATTATCAGTGTTTGTAAATCAAACGCTCAAATAACTTATTCAAAACTTATTCTTGCATTTAACAAGCAAGCAACTAACACTCTTCTTCAGTTGATTCTTTTAAAACACGTCCAATCAACCCATTCCGTACATCTTCATAGTTTTACAAAGAAAGTTGCAGTTGACCTACAAATTTTCGCAGAATAAAAAATAATTTTTACCATGAATTATTGAATTTTATAAACTTTTTGAATGAACGGTAGTAATATTTACATAGTTTTTTTTATGATTTCCCGGAAGTTTGATTTTCTATTTAAACAATTGTCTTACTAATGAAAAGTCAATCATATCATCGAACATTTAGCAGCTCAATAAATAAATAGACTGTTTGTCATCATAACCTAATAACGTCAGCTATGTGTTATGGTGTATTGAATGACGATGGTGAACAGACATAAAACTTTATTTTATTACATACATTACGTAGATGAAGTTTTACAAAACACACACCGATCACGTGAATGTTCGTTAGGAAAAAGTTTGTTTATTTATGAAAATGTGGTAATGTATCGATTTATGCAGTCTTCAAAAAAAACAACACGTCAATTATTCAGTTAGAATTCTTTCAAAATGATTGTGTACAGCTAGTACAAAAATTAACAAGCATCATACTCTAATAACAAAACACTGATGAAATGAATATTTATCAGGATAAATATTTATAGCCTAAGTAAACCCCCGTACGGTCCAATGAAAATAAAGTAAAATCAGAGTGAAACTGATCATTTCAAAAACGCATAGATCAGAATTAGTGTCAAAATTTTTTAACAGAACGAATTTGTATTTTAGATATTTTAGATAACTTGAACATATCAATGGAATCATTTAATAACAAGTGCAAATAATCAACTAAGATTTATGATTTTGTTTATTAAAAGACAGCTAACATCATATATATATATATATATATATATATATATATATATATAATTTATGTATTAAATGTCCTTATTTAATCTTCAAAAAACTGAACATGAAAGGTCACAAATATACTGCTTATCCACTTACAGATAAGGAAGGAATAGAAGTTATAGTGAGTTTTACTTTTAAAGGGACAAGGACAAGAGTTGAGAAAAAATTCGTTACAATGGTTTGGAAAAATCCCCGCCCCCCACCGAGTTCTAGGACTAATCAACTGGTGATCTTTTCTGAAAGGAGAAATCAACTTGATGAAAAATCATTCAGTAATTTAAGCACTACTATTTCATGTAATTCAGAATGAAGTATGAAACTTGATTATTTCAGTTTCCGCATTGTTTAAATAGGCAAAAAGCGTTTACAGACATGTTTTGTGTTGCATGCTTAATAATAAGTGTGGGAAAACGTCATTGATTTTTTTCTTTAAACTTTACATACACCATGTGTTGCCTTCACTTAGAGAGAAAGTAGGATAGACAGAGTGATTTTACAAATAATTTGAACAAGTTTATTTGAGAAATCATTCTGTTCACTTGCAAGTGAAGGATCGCAGGAAATTTTAGTGGAAATTTCGGAAAAAAGTTTTTAAACAGCCTGAAATCGTGGTTTAACATTGGAGTTATAAAGTTAGTTAATTTATTTTTCCCACTTTTATACCTGTGTATTTGTGTGTACGTTTCTATATAAGTTAGATTAATTATCAATGTCAATGACAACAGTATGGAAAAAAAATTCGAAAACAATTTAAGGCTTATATATTTTAAGCATCGGCAAACTATCTAGGCCTTAAAATCATTGATGAATTTTATAAAAATAAGTTTCACTTAATCATATTATTGGACAGTCTAAACCGAAGCAAATATGATCCTTGACTTAAATGTCGGCAAATGTTGCAATTATTCACTTATCAAATATCTTAAAATCTGTCGCTTTAGTGAGAACCTTAGGTTTTCCATGCTTGATTTAACTCCGAATCACTAGTCGTTAAAAAATCATTTGCATATATTGTACCTAGACATCATGAGATGCGAACATTTAGTTTCTTATAAAAGATTCAAAAAACAATGAGTTCAATCTTTGTAGATGAATTCGTCAAACTATGATTTAAGTTTGATTGTCTTTACGAGCTTCACATTTGTACACAAGAAGTTTACCGTTGTCTCATTCATTATCGTTTCAATACTGACAGTTAACTGTTTTTATGCAATAAAAAACTATGTACAATTTGTTTATGCTTACATCGACTAGTAATTCAAATTCGAAATGAATGAAAAAGTTCACATTATTCCCAGTCGATATTTACGATTAGTGGTTATCACAGTGAAAAATCTCTCTTTTTTTGTTGAGAAAACTATCTCACATGGTGTTTTCATTTAAGAAATCTAATTTGACCAAGCCTGTCACAACTTAGATTTATCTCTTCATCCTATATAATTTTGTAAAATTTAATTTCACAAATCCCAATTGGTGGATCGAAATCAAATATTTCAATCAAAAGAATGTTGTTCATATTTAGAGGTCAGTCAGTATGTGATCGTACAACCCATTTTTATACTCAAAATTTTTTTTTGGGAATTCACAAAAAGAATTGATGTTATTTAAAACACTAAATGGAACTATGGTTAAACACTTTCTATAGCTCTGTGAGGACAGTATTATTCACTGGAAAAAATACTCTATATAACAAACTGATAACCAAACTGTTTCATTTAAGTAAAGTCAGTCACTTCTAATAAATAAAATAGCTTTATTATTATACTAACCACAAAAATGTATACCCTTCACAAATGACTGTTATCTGTATGGCATTGTTAAAACTATTTTTAAAACATTTGCCCCTTTTTTTTGCAAAGCTTGATATCTTTGAATTGAAAAGTTTCAGTGTAAAATTAAAATAAAACACAAATGTTTTGGGATTCCCAGAGAACTATGTAGAAGAGGCTATTTCTTTTAAATACATCTAGTTAAAAAATAAAAAGTCGTCAATTGGCTATATGGATATATGGTAAAGTAATGTAATTCTGTATAGTGTCAATCAATCACTCATTGAAAAAAATACAAATATCACTGATATCATTTTAAAGCTATTGCGTAAATACTCAAATTTAGATAGTCCACATTTTCAAATAGTTTTAAACCAACTTAAAGAAAATCCAAACATCTTACAAATAAGTATAAATTAGAAAATTCAGGTGAAAAATATTGACCTGTGAATATTGTCTTATAAATCTGTGAGAAGTTGCAATAAACTCTAGGAATATTAAGGATAGAAGAGTTTGTAGTTTCCACTACTGATTGGGTCTGTCGGGTCATCATGATGGATAAGCTCAACTACCTCGTCAAGGTATCAGCTACGATTGGGAAATGACATGACTCAAACTTGCCTCCAATTGTGCAAATG